GAAGTGGACGACAATAAATTTTTTCGTGTAACGTTTATATTGAATGACACTTGATCTGCAATGTCCCGCGACTATTAGTAATTTCATTTCAACGGATTTTAAATTACTGCACGTGTTTAATTTGATGTAAAAATAAGTATTATTATATGAATAAATGTATAGCATAATTTTGTGAATTTAAATAAGTAATAAATACTCCTAACATAAATTCTATATAAGGTGTGTTATTATTATCATATGCTATTTAATGCTATGAATAACACATTTTTAATTCCTGACGGCTTTCCTATTAACGTTCCCATTCGATTTTTGCAAACAAGTCCTTGATATTGACATCTGATGTGTCAATAATAAAAGAATGTGCAAATTGTGCAAATTGTTCATATTCCAATTTTGACGTGTATTCATAGAGAATGTCTTCCTTCCTTCATAATTTTTTGGAATGACTGTTTAAAAATAACTGTATGCGTCCCAAGTCTTTCAAGCTTTTCTTCATTCTTGTTCTCTTTTGTTGTATTACTTACGTCACCGTCGTCAGATTCTATTTGAACACTTGGTCCAATTATAATTTCTTTTGGATGTATACTTCCATTTTAAATCTATCATTAAGAAAGGTTAAATACATAATTCAAACATAATGTAAAATGAGTTTAATTATATTACCTGATTCACTGAAATAATGGTGTAGGTCCAACATTTAATTAAATAGGGTGACGACAAATGACGATAACCACCATTCTTCTTACTTATTCAAAATATTCATCGCAACTACTTTCTTTGGTTCTTTTTATTGTGGCATTTTTAATAATAATAATTAAAATTTACCGGAAAATTTCCGAAAGCAATAGATTCTTCCGGCTCTTTTAATTTACTTTTACTTTTTGTATCCTGATTATTAATTAATGATGTTAGCCGTTAAAAAAATCCTTAGCTGGCTGAGCCTTTTACTACCTAAATTGGTAATTTTATTTCTATAGCCAGAAGGTAATGCGGAAATTTATTACCAAATTTAGAATTATGTATGCAGATTATTAACCAGCTAACATCACTATCATCAGTGTGTCCAGGACATGTCCCATGTACAACACTGACTATCACTAATTACACGCGTATGGGTTGTATGCAAACATATTGATTTTTTTTTGGTTAGACAATATTTTCTACACGAGGAATGTTGTATGGTATGTTTTTTATAAAGAAGACAAGGTGTTATGATTTATTAATAGTAAGAGAGAGTTAGACTATTTTTTTATTTTTATAAATAATTATCGTTTTATATAAATGTATTGATATGTATTAAAAAATTTTTCTGACAAAATTACCAATTATTATTATGTAAATAGTAAACAATCAATGATTGACAAAATTAAAAACTTCATTATATCGAGCTCTAGTTAATATAATACCAAGTAAAACTTCACTATATGATTATATCAAAGATTTTATATTAAAATCACTATATGATTATATCAAGATTTTATATTAAAAATCACTATATCGAGCAGAATTTATATGTAATGAATGAAATCGAAAAAATTTCTAACTTCATTATAGTGTTGCGATCCGGATTGTTAACGGATTAACGTTATTGTTGTTGTTGTTGTTGTTGTTGTTGTTGTTGTTGTTGTTGTTGTTGTTGTTGTTGTTGTTGTTGTTGTTGTTGTTATTATTGTTGTTATGGCCCGTTAAGAATCCGTTAGGGTTCTTTTCGTCCGGATTGTAATTATATTGTTGTTTTTCCAAAAAAAAAACCAACAAGATAATCAATGTGTACGCGTCAATCAAATAACAAACCTTTTTTTTCCTTTTTTTTTAAAAAAAAATAAAAATGCCTCGCCAGCAAAAAAGAAGAACAGAAAAAGAATTGGTTGAAAGAAGGTAAGTGTTTATCATAAGAATGGTGGTGACAGTTATCACCACTCGTCGTTACTACCGACGAAAGAAGAATCAACAACGAGGAGTTGATGAAGAAAATCACGTATGTACTTGAAATTTATATTTATATACCAAGTTTATATAGCTTTTTTTTTGACATTTGATTTAATTTGTCATCACATAGCATACATGTTCAATATCCGGCTGCCAAAATGATGTAAATGACAATGAAGCAAGTAATTGCACAATTAAATTGGTTTTTATATATTGATTTATTGGTTTATAATTATCAAGAAATTTGTGCTTTCATGGAGTCATGCAATCAACAAAATTATCATCACTAAGGATCAACTTTTGATGTGAGTGTTGAGAAGTATTACGATTTTTGTAACAACCTCATTCCTGACATGTGTACTCATTTTTTACTTATAGTGGATAGTCGAAGAGAATTACAATATCTCTAAAGATTTCCGCAATGTTCAAATAGAAACCACTGAAAGATTAAAGACTGATACATCACTTTCATATACTGCCAATGTTAATGAAATATTGTAAGCATTTTGTCAACAAAATAATACTTAATTTTTTTGTCTCGTGTATTTAATTTTTGTACATAATTGCAGATGTCTTATACATGAAATAAAATAAGCCCCAATTCATCAAACTTGGTAATGAAGCGTGGAAAAATATATCACCTAAATATTTGACTCCTATTACATTTTCAGGTATCGTTCATACAATGATCATTGAGTATAGCAATTTAAGTCATATGTCATCACTTTTGAGTATCAAGAGCAAAATAATCAATGAAAATAATATTGTTTTTATTTGTGATTTAGATTTTATCTGATAAAAAAAATTGAATGAAAAGTGGCACCATAACTGGAAACTTTGGTGCACTTTGGTAAATGATATTGACAGAGAAATATTTGACTGTATTTGTAAGTTCCAAATTTAACTAGAATTTGTTTTTGTCATTGTATCATCAACAATATATACTCATGATTGTTTACTTTTCAGTTTTTCATGCACATCTGAAAATCATATAATTTATAATATTGATGAAGATACATTTGTCCATCGATATTTTCATTCTTTAATTGAAGAAATTTTCAATATGGAAAAATATAATCTTAGATGGTAGGTTTACATTACTGAAAGGATAATTATTATAATATTGTTCCATCCCTAAATCAGTTTTAAATTGGGTATAAGGGCAAATGATTAATCCAAGACTTCAAAGGCTTGACATCAATTAGATGACAAAAAACATGGTCGTGAACCAGATTTCCGCATTCTTTTTGATGATGATGATATTATCTTTGCTGAAATTAAACCAACAAAACACATCGGAATGTTTGGTTAACAAAGATTTAATAAAACTAGCAGAATTCCTAAAAGGATCCTTGGATTTTTTATATATGAAATATAAAAATGTCATTGGTTCGGAAACCTTTGGCATACTCATACATGATAAGTTATTGCTATCATGATTTAATGAAGTTTGTCTTGTATAATCTGTCAAACTAACTGGATATAAATTTAACAGGTTATGAGTTAAATATTTTTAGTATGGATTTGACTTTCGACGGATTGTACAGGTTCAAAAAAATCAGTAAGATATCAATTCCAAGCAAAAACGAAAATTTCTCAAGAATAACACGAGCAATATCTACCTTATATAAATTACAAGTGTTTATTGATAGTGATTCTATATAAATTTTGCTCCATTATACAATTACTAAGTTATTGATTATTTCATTAACATAGAAAAAGGTTGAGCATGTTGTATCAACTTTTTGGAGTGGATTATTAACTACAGTATCTTTGGCCTTAAAATCCGTTCCTCTTTCTACCATCAGAAAATTTGCATGCAGATCCTAGAGCACAATTCAATAAGAAAAACTTTTTTTCTATAATTATTTGTTGATTTCCTCATAATTTAGAATTTAATTATAATAATTTTATATCAATCACAATTTTTAAAGTAATTTAATAATATTAATGACATTGCAATAATATTCTACTGTAGTATTGTTCCTATGGAAACATGATAAAACTACATTCAAGATATAATGTTATTTAAATAAATCTTTACTTTTTATTTGATTTGGCATCAAAATAAGATAAACAACATAGAACACTGACCTATTACTAATAATAAAACAAGTTTACAAATGAGAATGCAAAGTGAGCTTTTTTTAATTTGAATATACATTATTAGATGATTGATCTTTTTTGTAAATAAACCTTTTTTGAATAAAAAATAAATCAGGAAGGGATCACAAAGCAAAGGAAAGCAAAGAAAGAGATTTTTTTTATAAAACAGAATATTTTCAATTTTCCTAATACTGATTAATACTAATATACTAAAAAAATTTTTGACTTATGAGAATATTCAATTATCCAATGGTATACTCAAATGGTGTTAAATAATATAGTAACGATTTTTCCTTAAAAGAATACTCAATTAGATGATAGAGTTTTTCTATATTGATACAAAGTTTTCTTTTTTATATGTACAAAAAATTCCATGGCTTCAATAGAAAGTTAGTCGATATTAGTTCAGTTTATTAAAGTCTTCTATTTTATTTTTTCCAATTTTAACAGTTTTTTTTTCTTCTTTAATTGTTAGTTCATACATTTGTAAATAGTGAAAATGGGTTCAGAAAATTTAAATGATTGAAAATTCAAAATATTCATTAACACATACTTTGACAATTTGACAAATAATTGATAAATTATTGGTTTTTTTGTAATTGGAAGTTCTTTCAAAGTATGATCATAATCAGACATATTTGGAAAAAACATCATCACTTTCATATTCATTTTAATTTGTGCTTTGGTTCATTTGTTTTCTTCATTTCCACATTCATCCATACTTCCATTCTTGATTTCAGTTTCTTCATTTATGTTGTCATTATTCATTTTTAAAATAGGCTTTGTCTTTGATTTATTATAATTTTCTGAAATATCTGACATAATACAAATGTTCACTTTGTCTGGTTTTGTTGCAGCATGCCTCATATACTAGTAGGAATTCTTCTATGAGAGCAATATTTCTTTACACAGCATTCATAGATAATCCTTGTCTGTATGCATCCATGTACCTGAAGGATCTGCATGCAAATTTTCTGATGGTAGAAAGAGGAATGGATTTTAAGGCCAAAGATACTGTAGTTAATAATCCACTCATGTATAATCACAATTTTCTCTTGTGAATTTTTTTGTTGCTCCCCAATACATTTCAATGAAGTTGAATTCACAATGAAACTTAGTGTAGAAAATCACCATATGTCCCTTTTTTTCAATTTATTCCTTTTGTACCTTGAAATCTGGCTGTAACTCCAGAATTTTCAAACCACAACAGTCTATTTTTTCATTTTGCTCTCTTGATGGTTTAGTTTTGCACTCAGAGCATACCTTTCTCAATCCTTCCTTAAATAATCCCCTTTCTGTCAATATTGTTTCATCCCTTCTGCATTCTGTTGAGATAAACCATTTTTTGTTCAGCACCATTGAATGTAGTATCTCTCATATTTGGTTGATTTCCAACATCATTTCAGTTCATTTTAAATGCAACTAAAGCATCATCAGCAAAAGCAGCATGTGTGGTTGCATCAGGGTCTGAAATTTGTTCCAGAAAAAAACCGGTTGTACTTAAACCAACCGGATTTTAGAATTTTCAATCAGATTTTTTTTACAGTTCAACAGTTTTAAACCGGATTAATGAAAATACTAATATTTGAATTTAATAATGTTTGCAAAATTATATTTTGCATAATTTGTTAGTATAATGTGTCATGAAATTTTGAAATGTAATTTTTGGTAGTGTCATAAAAAATTTATGTAATTTTGCATTTGATGTGTCATGAGAATTTGAAATGTAATTTTTGGAAAAATTTATGTAATTTCACATTTGAATTGTATAATAATATTAATAATAATGTGTCATGAGAATTTTGAAATGTAATTTTTGGTGAAAAATTTATGTAATTTCGCATTTGAATTGTATAATAATATTAATAATAATGTGTCATGAGAATTTGAAATGTAATTTTGCATTTGGATTGTATAATAATATTAATAATAATGTGTCATGAGAATTTGAAATGTAATTTCGCATTTGAATTTAGTATAATGTGTCATGAGAATTTTGAAATGTAATTTTTAGTGAAATTTCAAATTAAGTTAGCAAACAATTCCAACACTAATATTTTTTTTTATTTTGAATTTTAGTTATGTTCCATGAAAGATTTTATTATAAAAGACAAGATGAAAAGACAGTTGTTTGTTTTATATAGCAAAAAATTTTATAAATATGTCTTTATATCAATATGGTTTTGTAAGAAATAAAGAATCATCTTCTACTTCAGAAATAAACATAAATGAAGAAAGGTCAGACAGCAGTATTATTGAATGTTGGAATTAACTAATTAAATAAAAATTTTCATTATATATTTATTTAATTTTATTTTATATAGTGTTATTATGGATGATGATAATAATATAATTGTGGATGTTGATGATGATAATATAATTGTTGATAATGATAATAACATGATTGTTGATGATGATAATAATACAATTGTTGATGATGATAATGATTGTGATGATGATAATTTCGAAGTTGAAGATACAGGATCTAAGAAAAAAGTGCTTAAAAATAAATCAGATAATAAACAATTCCAATATTCTTGGCTTACTGAATTTCAATGGTTAAGATACAACACTGATAACAAAATTATGTATTGTATTTATTGTAGAAATCATAATATTAAAACCACTGCATTTGGTAAAAATGGATCTAAAAATATTTCAAAAAAATCTGCAATAGTTGAACATTCAAAATGTAGTTCACATAAGCAAGCATTACAATTAGAAGCCTCAAAAACTCAAATGGAAGTTATATTAGATAAATCATTTGATCAATCTGCTAAATACATTGTTGGCCTTATGAAAATTGCCTTTTTATATGATCAAAAATAATGTACCATTTTCAAAATTTTCTTCACAAGTAGAACTTGCCATAGCATTAGAAGCACCAGATATTGTCAGTGAAAATTCAACCAATTATATAAATGTGAAATCTGCCAATGAATTTCTTAATTCATTCTCTGACATAATTTATGATAGATTGTGGAAAAATTTATTTGATACAGATTTTTTTAGTATAATGATAGATGAGAGTACTGATATTACAGTGGAAAAGCATTTGGTTGTTTATCTAACTTATATTAAAAGTGATGGTATCATTAGAACAAAATTTTTAGCACTTTTTCAACTAACTTCTGGTGATGCTCATACAATTAGCAGTGTTTTGATTAATTTATTTGGGAAACATGGTTAGTTATTTTAAATTTTTAAACAATATATATCTTTACCAAACATTCATCAATTAATTTAATTTTTAGATATTTTAAACAAATTAATTGGCTTTGCTTCAGATGGAGCAGCTGTCATGTTGGGAAATAAAAGTGGTGTTGCTAGAAGATTATTAAAATATTGTCCTTATTTAGTGGTTAATCATTGTGTTGCACACAAGTTAGCTTTAGCATGTAAAGATGCAAGTAAAGAAATTGAATTTTATGAAAAGGCAGAAGAATTAGTGGGTAGAATATATAGCTTTTTCAAAAAATCAAGTTCTAGAACTCAAGAACTTAAAAACTATCAGGAATTATTAGATTGTCCAAAATATAAAATTAAAAAAATATATAAAATCAGATGGTTATCATGGTATGAGGCAATAAAAAATGTTTGTGATACTTTACCAGCTTTAATTGAGATGTTATCAAATGATTATAGTGAAGTTGCTGTGAATTTATATGAAGATTTATGTAGTTGGAGAATGATTGGATTTTTCTATTTTCTTTACGATATATTATCTTATTTAACCCAGCTGAGCAAATTTTTTCAAAAAGAAAATTTACAATTTTGTGACATTCAACCTATGATTGAGGGAACAATAAAATCAATTGAAAAAGAATATATTCATATCAATGATATTCAACATTTTTTTGGTGCAAATTTCCAAAACCTAATGGTCACTACAAATCCATTCAATTCTTCACCTAATATTGGAGGTCATTTATTAAAATTCACAGATGAAGATTATGATGATTTATTAGTGGATATCTGTAGATATTCATCATCTGTTGTGGAAGAAATCAAAAATAGATTTCCAAATGTTGAATTAATAGATTCTTTTAAAATACTTGATCCAAGAGAATGGAATCTTACAAATGATAATATTTCAAGTTATGGAAGAAAAGAATTGAATATTTTGTTGGAACATTTTGCAAAAGAAAAAGAATCAAATAATAAATTTTTTGATCCACTGATCAAAAAAAATGAATGTCAAAATGAATGGATGGTTTACAAAACAATAATTAAAAATAATTTTGATAAAATGAAGATTGAAACAATTTTGCCAATTTTGATAAAAGAATATTTAGATGTGTTTCCAAATATAATTAGATTGATAAAAATTGCATATACAATACCTTTTTCAAGTGTACCATGTGAAAGAGGATTCTCAAAACAGAATCTAATAAAAACAAAAAATAGAAATAATTTGTCAATTGATACTTTAGATAAACTGTTACGAGTTTCATTAGAAGATGAATCAGTAAAAAATTTTGATTATAAATCTGCATATCATAATTGGAACTCTCAAAAAGAAGATATTTTATCAAATAAATAAATTAGATATTTTATTAATATTAAATAAATACAGTACATGTTATATGTAACAATTAACAATTTAATCAATATTATTATTATACCAAATATTGATATAGTATACAATAAATTAAAATCCGGTTTAAATCCGGCTGCTATAATTTCAACCGGATTTTTCAAAAATGAAATGGAAAAACCAGCTATTTTAAGTACAATTTCAGGCCCTGGGTTGCATTATCAAATGCAAACAGACCTATGCAACCTTGATGAGTGGCTTCAAATATTGGTATTGCTTTATCAATTACTTGACTTTTTTTAATTTCTCTGTTGTCCACCACCCATCATTATTTGATTCCATCACATGATATTCACAGGTAAGTGGGGATATTGATTTTGCTCTTCTTCATGAGATGTAAAGGGCCTATTGTTTCTGTTAAAAAATCACTGACATGATATGTAGCATAGTGGAAATTTAAATTTTGAAATTCATGTCATTAAAATATCTTGTTATTTTTATAATAAACTCGAACTTCGTTGTTGGACTAAAATGAAAGTGCTCCATTAAAGCTTTCTAATGAATACTCTTTCATATTGAAAGTTTTTCTCTACATGAATTCACGGCTATTCAAAAACGGTATTGCTTTTTCACTTCAAAGCTCAGATTATTTCTCAATATCACTTTAAAAGACTTGATAGTAAATGAGAAGGTGTAGAATACTTTAAGCTTTCATATGGTTATTACTTTATGGGAAGTATTGGTTAATAATTTTAGAGAGGTTCACAAAAAATCATTTTATAGTAATTTAATAGTCATGAAGAATTTTGTAGATGGGATTCAGCAAAACTAAAAGGTATTTTATTAGTGATTGTTTTATATTTCTGACTTTATATTGATTAAAGTTTCATTAATGATTATTATGAATACCCATCAATCAGTAGTTGTTATAGTAACATTAAACAATAATATTAGTAGCAACAAACAGCAAATGATGACAACAAATCATCTTTTTCAAGGATATAATAAAGATTAAGATCTAGTTTGTATAGGAGTTTGAAGTAAGTGTTAAGGACAAGATCTATGAAGCTTGCAAAATATACTAATGAATGTTTTATTAATTATTCAATAGTTTGTATAAGTGTTAAGGACAAGATCTATGAAGCTTGCAATTATACTAACAAATGTTTTATCAATCATTCAATAGTTATATTTATTATTTATATATATATATAAATTTCTCTTTTATTTTAACTTATATTTAATAACATCACTATGATAAATAATTATATGAATAAAGTCAGAGATAAAACGCCTTTTAATTTAATCATTATTGTTGCTTGTTTACTATTCTAATCATTATTTATATACACATCCTGGACAAAAGCATAGGACATCTGCAGATCATTGCAAATAATTGAATAAAGTGACATAACAAGAACTAAAAATTTTACTATCCCAATCACACCCGCCTATTAAGTAAAAATTAATCTTCATATCAAATACTAAAATACACTGAAGTTTCACCACATATAAATAAAACCATTGTTGTTTTACAGACCTTAAAAGATAAAAATGAAAATTTTGGAATTTTCTGAAAAATATTTGACTTGAAAATTGACCACAATAGCAAGTTCTAATGACCTTTGTGATATAAGTAAAAATGCATCTCATGTTTAAATCTAGCTACTTCTAAAATTTTAGAGCATTTGGTGAATTAATTAATGAGGAAAAAAATAAATTGTAAAAAATTTTACAAAATGACAACCTCAAACTGCTCACTAATTTGAAACATAAAAGACATTAAAAAATATATGAAACTATTTTAAATTGATTATATTTTATTAAAAAAAAATTAATATCTTGTCGGGTTTCCTCTATTTCTAAAACAGCATCAACCCTTCGTGGCATACTATCTATTAATTTATTAATTGAAGATCTTTGAAATTGGAAAAAATCAATCCGTTTAGTATTTTTGTCCATAAATTGAGAAATAATATGGCAAACTTCGTGAAACTCTGCAGATAACTAATTTCAAACATGAGACAGATTTTTTACTTATACCACAAAGGTCATTAGAACTTGCTATTGTGGTCAATTTTCAAGTCAAATATTTTTCAGAAAATTCCGAAATGTTGATTTTTATCTTTTAAGGTCTGTAAAACAACAATGGTTTTATTTATATGTGGTGAAACTTCAGTGTATTTTAGTATTTGATATGAAGATTAATTTTTACTTAATAAGCAGGTGTGATTGAGATAGTAAAATTTTTAGTTCTTGTTATGTCACTTTATTCAATTATTTGCAATGATCTGCAGATGTCCCTATGCTTTTGTCCAGGATGTGTAATATATATATATACTGTAGGTAAAGAAAATTTTTAATGTCTATTTATTTATTATATTTACTTTTTAAAATAAATGATTTACTATAAAGACATACTTAAGTGATCAAATATTCATAATAATGTAATATTTGGACATTTATTTCCACCTATACTTGGCAATTGGACGCATCAAACAAAATTTTACATATATGAATATAAAGGCAAAATTTGACTTTGAGGGTCAGATTATTTTCGATTTTATTAACAACCTGCTTTAAAAAATTTCTTAAAGCAGGTGTATATGATAAAGTTATATCTCGAATTTGGCAATGGTTAAATGGTAAAAATTTTTACTATGTAAATTCCGAATTTTACCAAAAATTTATATTACTATTGATCTGCGTGACACCGAGTTTGAGAAGATCTACACAGCCAATAAAAAGTTTAGCGACTAAATGACTTGCACCATACATATATACAAAAAAAAATTTTTTTAAAATATTATTCCAAGATAATTAACGATGAAGCCTCTAATTGAAGGCCTTACTTCATTATTAGTTTTTATTATTTTATTACTCGCATCGAATGTTGATTCATCCCTCGAGAACAATAATCAAGGTGAAAGTGTGATTCCATTAAGGACACATTCTATCTATATGCCATATATTGGTAAGTGCAACGAATCAAAATTATTATTTAAAACAACAACAATAAAAAGTAATAAATGAAATAAATACAATTCTGCCTGTATATATATAGATCAAGACCTTCAAAATAGATGGTTTGATTTTGGTGCTGATACCGTGATTAACACAAATAGACATATTAGATTAACACATGACCGACCTTCTCAAACAGGTTGGTTATGGAGCCGTCTGGTAAATAATAAACAAAGTCAAGAAAAAGTTATTTTTTTCTTTAGGTGTCAAACAAATAGTAATCAATTAATCGATAATAATCAATTGATGATAATTTTTTTTTAGCCATTGACTTCTACGAATTGGCAAGTTGAATTTGAATTTAAAATTCATGGAAATAATCCAACGCTTTTTGGTGATGGAATGGCTGTGTGGTTTACAACAGAACGTGCAAAACCTGGTCCTGTTTTTGGTTTTATTGATAAATTTGAAGGCTTGGGGATTTTTTTTGATACTTATCCTAATGCCAAACATAGTGTAATCAATCCTTAATATTGTTATATATTATACTATATTATATTATGTGTATATGTATAACTGACTTTTATAGTTATATATATATGTGTATGTATTTGATTAGCATTCTTTTCCTTATGTTCTGGCTATGGTTGGTGATGGCAAAACTGAATATGATCTTGGTAATGATGGTAAAAGTAATGAGGTAGCAGGATGTGAGGTAATTTTTTCTAAAAAAAGCTCGTTAACAATATTTTCATCATTTAATCATTATAATCATTAATTCAATAATAATAAATAGTAATAATAATAATACTAATAATAAATAATCCAACAACAAATTTAGGCTGATATACGTGGAAAACCTGTTCCGACAAAAGCTCGCATTACATATTACAAGAATACTTATCTTGAGGTTAGTAGATAAAAAAAAAAATGATAATATTCTCATCGTCATCACTATCAATTTTTCTAAAATGATTTTTTTTTTATTTAGCTCAAGTTACAATATAAAGGTTGGGATCAATGGGAACCATGTTTCACAATTCCAAATGTTACAATTCCTAATGTCGCTTATCTTGGTTTTAGTGCATTAACTGGTGAAGTTAGTGGTAAGAATTTTTCTTAAAATTTTATATTTATATATATACATATATTTTTTTCTTGACCTAAACTTGTAACTTATATATAAATTTTAATAGATAATCATGACATTATCAGTGTCACAACAAACAATATTGTGTCAGTTCCTCCAAGGTTACACAAGGTAAACTCGATCATTTATAAAAATAAAATAAATTTAATATAATCACTAATTCTTGTTTTTATTATATATAGCCAACTCTTAGAAACTCCGATCCACAAGGATCATCAAATTGGTCTATATTTGTTTACATTCTTAAACTTATTGCAACGGCCATTTTTCTTGGTATATTGGTATTGGTATATAGAATGTATAAAAGTCAATCAAATAAAAGATTCTAAAGAATATCATCTTTATTTATTTTTTATGGATTTTATTTAATTTAATATATATTCTTTTAACAAACTTTTTATTTATGTAATATATTGCAAAAAAAAAAAATTTTTTCTATAAATCAAAATAAAATAATTCATCTTAATAGTAAATAAATATATATACAAGCAAAAGAAAAACGCTCGGATAAAATAAAATATTTATATGCAAAGTTCTCTAAGTATTTAAAATAGCAATAATACCTCTTTGTTTCTATTTAAATATAAAACATGATTTTTTGTAATTCAGGTTTCATTAAACCATAATCTTCTACGTTGGTACTTTGTTCGCTATCAGCACTGTCATCTTCAAACTGGGTTGGTTTTTTTTTCCAAAATCTAAAGTAACATAAAAATATATTTAACATATATCTTTATCTTGTTTATACTTTATATACAAATTTACCTTGCACGAAACGCTGCCAAATGTGCATAATATGCAGGTGGAACCATAGAAACTGCTTGTGGACATCTCGCATAAAGATAACAAAAATTATATGTAAGAGTTTGTAGAACATCCGGTTTGAATTTATTATCTAGGGACAAAATAAACAAATAAAAAACCCCAAATTAGTTTCAAAACAAAACAAACCAATAAAACTTGATAAAAATAATTACCATCAACTAAAACATGATAATGAGTAGGACGGGATGTTCCTTGTAAGCCGGGATGCGATAATAAATCTGTTATTTATTAAATAATTAACAATGCCTACATGTTTATATTTATCTATACATAAATATATATACTTGTATGCAATTTAATAATACTTACAGAAATCATATTCAAATGGATGTGTTATAGATTTATCCACAACGGTTCCTACATTTGATTCAAAATAAAAAAAGTATCAATATTATAATTATTATTACTGTTATTATTAAGCGATCTTTTAATACTCAATCAATCAATCTTTACCTGGAAGACAATTTCTTGATCTATCTACATTCTTAGAGTCCGTAGGAAAGAATCTATAATTTCAGATTAATAATAATAAAAATTAAAAAAAAAGTTAAAAACACATCTTAAAAACCTCTGTTCTTTTTACCTAGCATGATGCCTTTTTTGAACAACTATAAATGTAATGGCTGGTTTATACGTGGCTTCTAGTTGGGTACAAGCCTTTCTAATCTGTTCTACTTCAGTAGTTTTAACAGCCTCAAACTGTCCTTCACTAACACCATCACGATAAAACAAAATTCGTTGCGGTTTCCTTTTAGTTTCTTTATAAAAAACTTTTAACAGTTCTTGAACCATTTCTTGAAGTGACGAAATGATTTCGGTACGGGGTGCTTGAAATCTAATCGAGGTAGCATATTTTGTTCCTTTTGGATCAAATGATCCAACTACTGCTGCAATACTAGGTGTTGTCTCCTCACCTAAAAATATAGTCAAGTAATGAGTACATAAATATTTATTTGTATATTGATTAAAAAAAAAAGAATAATGACATACCAAATTTAGGATGGGTAACGTCAGCACCAAATACAATAGTCTATAATAGAAATATTATTAATTATATATTTGCCAAAAAGTTTATTTAATATTTTATTACTTACTGGTTCATCTTGGAAAAATGGAAGAAAGCCATTTTGTAAAGACATATTACTTCCTTGAAGTTTAACATTAATTTTTAAACCCAACATTCCACAATATTGTTTGTTTATTCTGGAAATTTTACTCGACATCACGCACTAATAATATATATAATATAAAGAATTAATAACTAATAAATCGTAAATCGTTAATGCGTATACGTCACAGATATATATTTATCTACCTGTGTTGGAACACCTAATATTGTACCTTCGACCCTCTTTATTTCGTCGTACAAATTTGAACGTGTTTGTAAAACACAAATAATTAATTGTGGTTTTATATTTGTTGCCTTCCCAGCAGCTTGATATGCTCTCCTGATAGCTTCTTCAGTACTTCTTTGACTATTTTCATGAAATATTGGTGGATCTCGCTTTGCAATATTCATTCCTATATATGATTTTATTATGTTATGTGATTATTATTACGATCATGGACAAGATTATGCGATTATTATTGTTAGTTTGTTTCACTTTCTCTATGTTTTTCTAAATACCATTTTCTGATAATGTTTTTGTCAATTCACGAATAAAATTCTGTACAACTTCTATCTTGACATGTTGGGGGTTGGAAAATACCACTACAGACCATGATTCCAAAGTTGCTCCCTGTAACATCTAAAAAAGTATATAATGTATATATTAATTTATTGATAATCTAATATATTAACACATATGCATTTAAATATATTTATTAATTAAAAACAACCTTTTTCCCAGGACCAAGTTGCCATTTTCCGAGTTGAGGAGTAAAACTTGCTTCACGACTAGACTATAAGTATAATAAAGTCTTTTTTGAGAGATCAAATAAAAAAAACATACTATGTATACTATCAAAATCACAAAAAACATATATAAATATCATACTGGATGATATGCCACTTTAGGGGAAGGTAGTACACGGGCCTCTATCATAGCCATTTGTTTAGATGTTCTTAATCCCCATTGTTTGCAATAATCATTTTGATCATAGTTTAATGACTCAAATCCTCTTTGTATTTTTTCTTGGCGAGAACTTGGAGCTATATAAAAAATTATTGAATTAAATTAGTTAATTAAATAAATAAAAGTCTGGTTTTAAGGGGAAAAAACTAAATTGAAAATTTACGTTGACAGGTAAACTTGATCATATCAGCTGTTTGTTTACTAGTGAGCTTCCTTGTGATTCTTTGTCCCTAAAATGCTTGATTTTTAATAAAACAATAATGGTAACGAGTCACATTAATGATATATAATAACAATATAATTACAGGTTCAACATAACAGACTTCTGGCGGAAAATAGGAGCCATTTTGAGTGGTTACACATGGTAAAAATGGATATTGTAATCTAAGGTTATATTTTGCATGAAAATATTCGACAACATTAATTTGGTCTTGATTTTCTGGAATAACAAATAAACGCATTTTTTAGCCACCGATATAAATAAAAATAAAATAAAGTCAGGAATTCAAGAACAGCTAACCTCTTTCAAAAGTTATGTATTGTGCTGGTCTATCAGATAGTTTTTTAATTTTATATCTACGTTTAAAGTTTTGACCTCTATGCGTAACATGAAATTTTAACGATTTTAATGTTCTTTCTAATTTATTACGATCTCTCTCGTTGATACCACGTCGTAAATCTTCTACTCTACGAGCTCCCAATATTTTTGCTATAATTTCAGCAAGATTGCCTGTATTGGTCACAAAAAAATTCTAAGTATCACCAAATCAAATATATATATAAATATGGGAGAAATCATTTATTCTTTATACCAGCTTCATAAAATGCTGTTGCACTTGTGTCAAAATTAATATAAAATCGACCTATTATTATCAAAACAGTATTAAATAATGTTTCTATATTATTTTTTATTAAAAAATTTTTTCCGATACAAAAAAAATTATGTCGTACCTTGACCAGGTCGTAAGGATTGCCAGTATCCTGACCAAACTTCAGCACCTCCATCTAAAGGTTGAGAGTTTTCCGGTGAATAAAATGCTCTACGTCCAATAGCCTTAAACTGGTTTGATGGTACTTGATTAATCAAGACATCCAATGCAGTAATAGCTAGAAATTAAAATGTAAATATGTAATAAATAAATTATATCTACCTAATTTTTTAAAAGTAGTTGTTGAAATAATTAAAATCTCACCTGTTAAAACGTTATTTGACAGTGCAGATTTTCCATTTACAAAACGAATTGCTTCTTCGAGGTTTTTTTCTGCAACTTTTCTCATCTTTATTGTAAAATTTCTGGGGGGTCGTCTGGAAGTTTGAACTTGATTATCATCAGGAAGAGTAATCTTATTATTTAAGAAAATATAAATATTATAATTAGATCTGATTATATATACATAAAAAATTCAAATCTTAATAATAAAATGATCTGAATAATTATTAACTCCTATAGTTAATGCATCTCCGAATGGAAGGTCTTTGATTGTAAAAGCATTATTACGGCCTCATTTATAAAATAATTGAAAATTAGATTATTTTTTCTTGAAATAGATAAAAATAAATTTAATTTGTGGTGTGTATATTACCATCATAAACTGGCTTAACACCACCAAGAGTCCCTAGACTTTCCAAATGCTTAAAAACTCTACGATTTAAACCTGGTGGAACTTCAGGACTAATGTTGACATCATACTGGTAAACATTAAAATCTATTTTATTTGTTAGTAGTTTTAGCTAGTTTTCCTTTGATTTGGGCTTCCTAAAAAAAAAAAGCATTCCTGAAGGTTTACCAGGAAAGCTTATAACTTCAAAGAAATTGGCCCTAATTTGTATAAGACGTCCTGAGGAACCAAAATTTGGGCGAAGTGGATATTCTGACAATTTAATTGGAGCTTTCGATGTCATGTTTTCCTTTTTTTTTTTCTTGTAGATATTATTGTTGAAGAATAATAAACTTCTTATTATTATCAACGTGACACAAGATATAGCCACCTGACTTTGTCTATTAATTCTGTAAACAATAGTAATGGTAATTTTTCCATATAAAGTTTAAATTTTCGAGTTTTTTACGATATTGATGAGTGAATACTAATACTAAAGAATTTTTTTTTTTAAAATGAAACTATTTATAAGCCTATTTACTATGATAACGAATTCACATATCCCTGGAAAATCAAATCTTTTTTAAAATTTTGAAATTTCAGGGATCAAATTGTTTAACTGCATCTTCAATATCCTCCTCCCATAGAGAAATAAGCTGATTATTCTCTTAAATCACATCTTATCTCATTAGCCAGTATCATCTATTAGGTTATCCATTAATTAATTAATTCATCTATTCTATTTAATGCTTACGATCTAGTAATAGTCCCATTTTCTAAACCAAGTTTACACTTTTCCACTTACTTTTTTTTTATTTTTGCAATAATTCGCCTTCTCTTTTGATCAAATCATTGCTCTAATTATTTCTTATCCGCTTCACAATGTTCTTATAATTATCTGCATCTTTTTAAATCAATAAAATTGACTGGATTTATAGGGCTATTAAATATTTATTTTATTATTAAGTTGATTTAGAATTCGAGTCAGCACGGGTCTTTTTTAATCATGAACAAAAAGAAAAATATCATCGATATTATCTCAATCGATGATAATAATAATGACGACAATGGTGATGATGAAGACAATGGCAATGATAATAATGAAAAAGCTGCAATTCAAGCATGCATGTGCCTGATCAACTGGTGTTCATTCGTTACATATTAAATCTTATTTTTTAAATTACACTAATCACGTGAATACTAGTTTGATTACTATTCCTATATTAATATAGGATTGAAATCTTCGCTTGATGCAGCAGCAGGATTAAAAAAATTCACTGATAAAATGAAAACTTTTTGTTTTGGCTTTAATTCTATCAGTTTTTACCCTTTTCATTATTTTTTGGTGGTAAGCCTTTAAAGACATGCGAAAATCATTAACTTTTATAGGTGTACCATTATATTGGTATCACTAAGACGTTGCAAAACCATTTTTGTTTCCAATGAAAAATTCTGAAAGTTAATATCGATGGAACAGCAATATATATCTACAGGAATGGAACCTCTGAGGAAAGGCTCGCGCTTCAAACAAATCAATTGGCCAATGCACCGGATCAACGCTAAAACAAATATTACCAATACAGACTTCATAAAAGATGGAATATATGTGAAGCATTACCCAAATGACAACAAAAAAGAAATACCACATGGAATATCCTGTTTTGTACCCACAAGTAACCCTCATAATGTTCCGAACATAAAATATCACGGCGAAGGGAACGACTGTTTCATTTTACATCAAAATGCATTCTTTCACGAGAAGTTGGCTCTAGTATACACCGGCAAGATAAATCTGAATGTTCCTTCAGTTAAACAGAAAGCGTTCCACTTTCACATCATTCCTACAGAGCGTATGACACAATCTGAGTTTAAGTTAGCAATAAAGAGCCTACCTTGGCTGCCATGTACTATCAAGGCTAATGCATCTTCTGACAAACTGATTCGCACTGATGATGATATAGAGGGACTGGGTGACTCAAGAATAATCGCGTTATATGATATTATGGCCTTCTGGTATGAACAGGAAACTGATGCTATGGGCCGTCTCCGTGCCAATGATATTCGCATATGGATCGCTGAAGACAAGCCATCCTTTGATGACCTTCTTCAAGATGAAACTCGAGCTCGCTACGTTTTCTCGGCACTTGCTCGGATAGAGATTCCGAGTGCATGTGTGTCTACGATAATTTACCGAGACGATATTTTGAACGAACTAGAGGTTGCATTTGGATGGAAGGTGATAGACTTCTGTACTGATCTTAAGGTGAAGACTTGATTAATATTTACTTTTTTTTTTTTTGAGTCAAAGCCTGATGGTATCAAATATTTATTCGTTGCAAGGTTTTTCAACAGATTGACGTTAAAGTTGAAGGACCAGAAGGTAAGTAATAGATCAGTGATATCTATCATAAACGTATACTTAAACGTTTGCCGGTATCATCTTAATTATATATAGTTGCTCATCAATCATCTGAACTTATTGATGAGCTTATTGGTGAGTTTGGCAAAGTCAGCACCCCGGAAAAATGTAAGAATGTTGACGCACTGTTTGTGTGTATTTAAGTTGTGACTTGGCATTTTGGAACTAAGTATCTTGTCTATTCCTATCTATAATAGTAAGTAAAAATTTTTTCAGATTTTCCTTTTTACATGATAGAAAATACTTGAAGGATGGGTGTGTAATAGAACACACAAAAACAGGCTATAAGGAAACGTACCATTCAAACCCAAATTGTCTTTTCGCTGACAAAAAAAAAACCGTTCGAAATTTTTAGCAGAAGCTACAAATATAGGCTTGGTGGTAAGGATTATAAAGACTTTAAATTCCAGAAATATAATTTCTGATGAAATTCGTAGAGGGATTTTTGTGCTGATCAGATTTCAGTTCTTGGTTAAAATAATAATCAATTATTTTGACGTTAGCATTGTTTTGAATAGAAATGAGAAAAGTCCCAGGACCGGTGCCAGTTTAGTCACAATCCGAATTTTAGGACCAATATCAACAAAGTTTTTTTATCTTTTATATTTAAAAAAATAAATTGATTATTTATTAATAAAATCGTCAAATTTGACTCGCGCAATTTTTATGATTTACACTTTTGGATGTCGTGGGCTTCAATACATAAAAAGTTACTCTGTGCACCAAAATTGACTCGAGTGTCTGCTGACTCGATTTTTAATCCAAATATTTATTATTTTTCGTAACTGTTGATTTAAATGGTAATAATAAATGTTATCATGAAATTCAAGAATGAAAGACTCATATAACTACAAATAAGTAAAAAGATACATATTAATATTAATCATAATAACGTATTTTTATTCATAATGACTCATGCGCAGAATTTAAAAAATGTCAAGACTAGATAGGTAATATATATGTCAAAAGCCCTTTTGCTAATTTAATCACTATACTAATACATAAACTTCACTTCTCATAAATATTTAATGATTGTTATCAAAATATTATAAAACTAACTAAAAACTAAAAAAAAAATAATCATCCATTATTAAAAAGAAATCGACTTCATTAACTGATAATTTTATAATTATGATGATCTGCACCGTATAAGTTTAAGGGTTTCCAAGTTTAGAAGATTAAATTAGAAGGCTATTTCTAATTTAAAAATAAAATCGACCGGCAAAGGATTAGGGCCACTCGTGAAAGTTGATGGGAAAATGAACAGGCATGACTACATACAAATTCTCCAATCAAA